AGAGGAAGATGCTGCAGATTAAACTCTTGCAAATGAGTATCACTTTTGTCGCCTTCGCACGCGAAGTGTAGCGCCTAAGAAATTGGATTTCATTTTAAGTGAACAACATCAAAACACAAAATAATTGCAAAAGCAGTATAATATAAATTTTGAACAAAAAAATCTAGTGTGCATTTAAGATACTATGAACGGAATTCCGGTATAAAGGGTATAACATTTTGATTACACGCTTTGTTATTGGAATAACTTCATTTTTCTGTTAAGTTTCTATATTTTACTCATTATAGAGAATTCGCTTATTATTTTTCGGTAATGAGAAAAAAACACATTTACTATTAAAAATATACACTCATTCAACATTAACATTTTTTCAAATTTTAATTATTTTTTATTTATTTTTTTTTTAATAAATTTATTTTCCCATTATCCATTCCATATAAAATTAATTTCCATACGATATGTAGTTGTTCGAATGTGTGTGCACATTTGTTATTTTTGTGAAATATCGTCCAAACAATAAATTTTATTAAAATTCAATATTTGCATCTGAAACTGATGTTGATGCTGCTGATAGTTTTCGTGTTTATGCAGCTGATGGCGATGATGCATGTTGATGACTTTATTGAAAATCTGAGCAGTGTTGGCAAATATTCCACAAATTTATTATTCACAGTTTTAGAGAAATTCTATAAAATTGTCTTTAAATACTTGATTGAAAAAAGACATAGATAATTGAGTATATGAAATACCTTTTGAGTTATGCCGTGGTGAACTACTTGTATGCGGTTATTGCCAGTAAGTTCTGAGATGACATGTATTCAGTCAAATCGAATGAGGAGCTTTTTCGGCTTTCCAACACCATTGTTTGTGTGTCCTTATCGTCCTTAATTCATTGTATCGGACTCCAATTATCACAAGATGCGATTTTTTATCCTCGCAATATTCTTCAAAGACGTGTCGAGTTTGAGTACATTTTAACCATTTTAACGTTGATTAAGAAATATCAGTTCGCTGGTGCGCACGATAACTTTCAAAGAGAATAACCGACTTTTATACAAACTTTGCAAATCAAATTCGAATAACTGAGTAACTGATAGGATCAACACATTGAAAAACATAACATTTGTATTAGCCATGATATAGGGCTAGAATTTATTGGTCCACTACTTCCTGTACATCCCTCACAAAGGCTCGACATTTTGAAAATATATAAAACTCATATTAAGCTAATTGAGAATCTGAATTGACCCAAATATTACACAGCGTAAGATTTAGCCAAACATAGAACAAGTCCACATGCGAGTCCCATTGGTCCATTCCTTCTGCCATTTCTCCCATTTTCACAACTTTCAACTTTTCATTGAATATAAATCTTTGTATGGCGATGAAGTCCCATGCTATAGGACTGTGAAAAAACTGTCTTAAAATATTTTTATGGGACCACGCTCAATTTAAAAATATCTCTACAAATTGCACGTATCGATGGAATCAAGGAAATATTAATAAAAATACAATTGTGGTTCTTTCAAAGACTTAAAATATCACATAGGTGGCGAATCGTGGATATATGTGTATGAGATCGAAACAAAACAACAATCGAGGTTTTGGCAAGCCAGCCATATTCAACGGAAGCTGTTGTGAAAGTTGTACTCCGAGGCAAAAGTTTTCGGAAAAACATTAAGCACCAAAGCGAGCTCTTACACATCGGCACAAACCGATATCTTGGAATTTATTAGGCTGGGGAAAAATAAATCCATTATGTTTATATGAACTATAGGACTTTATTTAACATGCTTCGGAATATCCGATTTGCACCGTTTTGTTGTATGATTTGTTGCCATTTTAGAGGTAACTTCACAATGTCTATCTTATACAAGTCTTATATATAAAAAAAAACTCTAGTAGTCGATTTTCACAATCCTCCCTAGATACCAATTTTTTATCATTAAATAAATTTTTCAATGCAATAAAAAGAGGATAATCGCTTGGTGCCAATTCCCCTCATACAGTGCGGACTTGCATTAGAACTTTCCAACCAAGCTCCCGAAGTTACTGGAGAGTCACTATATATGTGTGTGGCCTGGCGGAACACAACACCTCTCCTTCACTTCGATCATTTCTCCATATGGTAGCAACTCATAATAAATAATGCCCTTTCAGTCTCACCAAATGCATAGCAGAACCTTTCTGGCCATTAGTCCTGGTTTGGCCACCATTTGAGGTGTTTCACCGCTCTTTGACCACGATCGTTTTTGCACAGGGTAATCGTATGTGATCCATTTCTCATCTCCAGTCACCATCCGTTTAAAAAATGGGTCTATCTCATTCCGTTTGGCTAAGGCTTCGCAGATAGAAATTCGATATTATTTTTTTTTTAATTTGTGTGGCACCAAAACATCGAGCTTCATTTTGTGTAAATGGTTTAATGGATTTCCATTTCCCCAAACTAATATTTAACTGGCCGTTTATTTGGTTTTCTTTGTCATAAAATATAAACGCGTTCTATATAAATTCCTCGTTTGAAGCCACGATTTTTAAATACTTAATAGACCAACAAAAATATATGATGATCGCTGCTGCCATTTGTGTGCTATGGTGGACACTAACTACAAGGAGATATATTTGAGGTCCTTACAGCAGTTCAGCCGATTGTAAAATATTTTAAAAACCCAAGTATTTTCAAGGTATAATGAAACAAAAACTTTGTATGCAAAACACTACGAGTTCTTCAATTTGAAATATATATTAAAATTTCGAAATTAAATACTTTCAAATGAAAATTAAATATTTGGGTTTTAGAACAAATCAATTTATTTTTTATTTTATTAGCATATTTCCTCAATTTGTGTGTGTTTTTTTTTAATTCTCTTACATTTTCCCATAGAAACCATAAAAACAAATATTATTTTATCACTTACACCATTCTGCACTTGATCAGTAACAAAATTGCCAAAAAAGTGTGTATGTGTAACGGTACTACAGGGCTAAAATAAAATATTTAGACAAAAAAAATTTTTGTGGTTTTTTCGGTAAACACACTTCAAAAAATCACACACGCACACCAACACACACAAAAAACCAATACTTTTAGACATACAAACTCAAATTCAATTAAGATAGTGATAGTAGTTTGTCGTTTCTTTTTATATTAAAAAAAACAACAACAACAAAAATCAGTTTCATTTTACGAATGCGTAACACAGAAGACCGTAGAAAGTACAACAACAACTACACTGACGACTGGTAGTTAGGCAAGGTCTTTGTAATTCAAACAGAGCAGCAACAGCAGCAGCAAAAACTAAATATTGCCATAGAAAATAGTTTAAATGAATTGTTGATTCTATGGGGGTTTTGGAACAATAGATGGCACAAAACAGCCAGACAGACAGATAAACTACAACAAAATGACAATTTAATTTTAAATCCAATCAATGCGAAAATTGAATGTTCTGATTGATTTTCATCAACATTAGATAGATTTACCAACCGACCAACGAACGAACGAACCAAATGATGAGCCAGCTAGTGGTGAGCCGGGTAAAGGACCAACCAACTAACCCACAATTTAAAGCAACACATTGTCAGATGATAAATGTCGGCTATAGTTACAGACAGGCTGGCAGTCAGTCAGGCCCGCATTTGTGCACAAGTGTTGATTGCAGTTGTGTGACACATTTGGAGCAAATAAAATAAATCCATATCAATCACTTATTCTTTCTTTGCCTCAAATTCTCTTTTTACCCACTCGTTCTCTGGCTGTCACTAACACACTTGCACACATTCACATACATTGGCTCTTTGTAAAGAAAATTGTGGGTAGCATTAAAATGTGATGCGGTTTTTGAATTAAAATTTTACATTAGAAATGTCATCTGTCATCATTGTCATCAGATGTTGTTTTGACTGCAACTGATTAACCATCAAACGATGGTTGGATGGATAGATGGGATGGACTCAGTAGAGATCATCTGCCAAGGGAAAACACATTTATTTGTCCCCATAGGATAATGAGTTAAATGATTAAAAGCTATGGTGTGTATGTATGTGTGTGTGGAATATTGGATATTTGACATGGAAAACCACAAAGTGAATGACAATTCAATTTCATTTTAATGTGTGGAAATATTGTCAGAATTCAATCAGTTTAATGAGAAACGATTCATTTCGTGGAATTAGAATAATATTTGGAATGAAATCTAAAACATGATCTTTGGAGTGAAAACAGGCGTGGATTTTTTAAAGAATATTTTTTCAAGGTCCATACAAGGCGTAGATTTTTTAAAGAATATTTTTTCAAGGTCCATACAAGGCGTAGATTTTTTAAAGAATATTTTTTCAAGGTCCATACAAGGCGTGGATTTTTTAAAGAATATTTTTTCAAGGTCCATACAAGGCGTAGATTTTTTAAAGAATATTTTTTCAAGGTCCATACATGGCGTGGATTTTTTAAAGAATATTTTTTCAAGGTCCATACAAGGCGTAGATTTTTTAAAGAATATTTTTTCAAGGTCCATACAAGGCGTAGATTTTTTAAAGAATATTTTTTCAAGGTCCATACAAGGCGTGGATTTTTTAAAGAATATTTTTTCAAGGTCCATACAAGGCGTGGATTTTTTAAAGAATATTTTTTCAAGGTCCATACAAGGCGTAGATTTTTTAAAGAATATTTTTTCAAGGTTCATACAAGGCGTAGATTTTTTAAAAAATATTTTTTCAGGGTCCATACAAGGCGTAGATTTTTTAAAAAATATTTTTTCAGGGTCCATACAAGGCGTAGATTTTTTAAAGAATATTTTTTCAAGGATTATTATTATTATTTTGTGAAAGAACTTTTCGTAAGCCAATATTTTTTTTATTAAACACTTCTCAGATATTTTATAACCACAATAAATATATTTCCAAAATCACTCCAAAACGTTCACTTTCCCCCACCCTTAATATTCACTCCATAATAATAAAAAAATCACAAAATCAAATCACTCTCTCCCTCGCCCACACACTTACCTTAAATTATCAATACGTGGCCGCCGGCACTGCGGCCGATTACGCCGATGACTACGATCCTTTTTACAGCGGCAGTCACAGTGCATTATGCACAAAGCTATCGATGAGATCAATGTTATCACAAATGGCACGGCAAAAAAATGCACAATCACATGGACCTGGTCGTCGTGACTGTACGACGTGAGTACGACCGTTTTGTTTTTGCGCGAATAATAACATGGATAGATGGCGCCCTCGACACCGTAAAATGCATTGAACGTTTTGCACGTGACCGTGGGCGGATAGCCACAGCCCTTGATATTGACGAGCAGGGTGGCCTCCTCCGATTGCGTCCAATCGGCCGTGTAATTTGTATAGTCGGTCATGTTTTCGGGTATTGTGATATTATCCTCGATAAACGTCACATAGATATGAACACACTTGTATAGATCGGAGGTGCAGCCCTCGCGGCACGAGCTCCACGAGCAGTTGAATATACCGACGAGATCTTCGCGGCGCGATGTCGTGCAGAGCGTGGGATTCTCGATGAAATCGTGACTGAGGGTCGATATCGCCGGATCGACATAGAGGGGCACGAGGAACAGTAGCGAGGCACCGGCGGTCACCGAGAAGAAGGCGAGTGTGGAGGTAGCATAAAAGCGGGCACGTTCGCGCCACGAACGAAAGCGCCGGTTACCATTTTTCTTTTTCGGAGCCAGTTCTCGTAGTTTACGTAACCGTAACTCTTGTTGTTGCTGCTCGAGTAGTAATTCCGAACTGCCACTCCTCATATTATTGTCCGTGCACACAGGGCGATTATTTTGATGATGTTGATAGTCTCCAGCAGCAGCACCAGCACCAGCAGCGCCTCGCCCGGCGGCAGCAACAGCAGCCGACGATGATGATGTCGACACTGCAGCTGCAGCAACAGCACACTCTCGGCACGTAGACGTGTTGTTGGTTGCAACAAATCGGCCTCCTCGTGTCGTCGTTGCACCACCAGCTGCGCCGCTCAGAGAACAACGTGGATACTGCTGCTGTTGTTGTTGTCTTCTCAGGTCGTCACACGTTGTACAGCGCAGATACGATTCAGTCACCGATTTCGGAAGTGAGCCTACGCCGCCTCCGCCTCCAACCCCGTCACTGCCTCCTCCAAGGATACACACAGCCTCTGTTGTGGGGGTGTTGTAGCTCTGTTGATGGATAACAGTGCTCTGTTGCTGGCTAGGAGATGTAACCGATGTAAACGTTGGCGAGCGAATGGTGGTCGAGCCACTCTTGGAGCCTGTGGAGGCAATGGTGGCGGCGGCGACGGCGGTGGTGTTGCTGGCAGTTGCTGGTGGCTGTGGTAGTGGTGTGGGTGAGCAGGTGACGACAATGGGTTCCAGAGGTGTAATGTTATTCTCGTCACTACCGTTTTGCTTTTCAGCGGTGGCAAATCTTGTGGTTCTCTTATTTTTAGATGCTCTTGTTGATGTTGTTGCGGGGCAGGTGGACACGGAGGTTTGTGGCGTAGTTGTTGTTGCTGCTGAGATTGAGACGGAACTTGATGTTGCTGCTGTTTGGCAGGTGGTAGAGGTGGTGGTGGTTGGTACGATGGTGTTGTTGCTTGTTGTTGTTGTGGGTGTGGGAGAGGTGGCGATGTTGTTGTCGTCGTCGTTACTGCTATGTTTGTGTATGGCTGCCGAAGTCTGAATGATGCTGGTGTTGGTGTTGCTACTCGGACTCTCCGAGTGTTCCGATGCCGATGCGCTGGCTGGGGTGACGACGACGACGTTGGTGCTGCCGGCTGCACGGGGAACAGTACGCTGAGCAGCAGTGGCAGCCGTAGCGTCAGAGACGCAAACGACGTCGTCGTGTTTGCTAACTTTTGAGGATTGTATGTTGCCAGTGTTGTTGAGAATTTGGAAAACAAAAAAGGAAACTACCGAGAATCACCTCGTCGTCTCTCGCCGAATTCTCTTCTCTAGGGTCGAATCTTAGGATTTCGATAATACTCGTCTCTCAGTCCAATACATGGGGGAGGAGTAATTAGTGCTGATTGTTGGTCAAGGTAAATATTTGAGATTGTTTTTCTGGCGTTGCCGATGTTTTTGTTGTTGGTTTTGTTTGTTTTCAAAATTTCGACAAATATCCTCAATTGTCGCGTTAGGCAGCAGCTTGAACAACAGTAAGAGTGAGTGGTAGGGAATTTTGTGATTTGGATTGGGATTCTGATTTTGTTTTATTTTTTCTTTAAATTTCAAATTTTCTTTTGCTTTGCTTTCTGATTTTCTTTGATTCAATTTTTTGTTTATTCGCCGTCGTCTTCTTCTTCTCGGTATGGCGTAGAGAATAACAACGACAACAAAACAAATCACAACATTGTACTGGGATAATAACTCATTGACTAACGAACAGACAGACGAACGAACGAACGCAAGTACGACCGAAAGACGGAACAATAAAATATGGACGCTTACGTTGACTGCCGCCGTTTAAACGAATGACTGCTCTGTTACGTTGGAAAAGCGGAAATGCACTCTCATCAAGATGGTATCCCTTCGACTGGGCATTACATGTAAACACTCACACGAGCACACACGCGCGAACACAAACACGTTGGCCAATTCACGGGTGGTAGGTACCTACACATAAATATGCCTATCTGTAGACACCGTAGTAGAGCGAGAGTCGCGAGAGACACAAACACAACGCCCGATAGATAGCGACACAGTGGGAACAGAACACAGAGTAATTTCGGGGAGAATAGTTGTAGTTGTATTCACAACACATAACGGTATCACTCGCTGGATGGCTGGCTGGTTGGTTGGCTCGTTTGGCTTGACTTGCTCAGGCGCTAACTAACAAACACACCCGCACTGTGTTCGAAAGTAACCGTTATCCTGTCACAGAACATTAGTAGTTGTTGTCGTTCCTGCTTCAGCTGCTGACTGCTGAGTTGTGATGGATGATGAGGTGGAGATACTATTCGACTCTCTTTCGATCTCTCTCACGCAAAGTAGGCGCCTGCTCAAAATATGTAGTTTCGTGAGAGATAAAGAGAATGAGAGTTTGTCATTATATAAACAAATTGCAACAACTCTTTTGAGTTAGAAATTGTTAACTTCTACACGCCAGACATTGAGAGTTGAAAATGTAGTGAAGAGCGGCAGCCGTAATTACCGATAGAGCGTCTGATTTCATTGAGTTCTGAGTGCAAGAGTTAATTCCATTGCTTTTATGTTTTATATAAACAGCTGATGTTTTTGTTGTGATTCTTCTTCTTTTTCTTTTGTTGTTACTTTCGGTTTTTCTATGATATATTTTACAGCGCAGATTTTCTCTTTTTGTGTTTTGCTTCCTCTTGTTAGTATTTCTTGATTTATTTATATATGTATGGATGTATGTGTGTATTATGCCATATGTTTTATTTTATACAGATGTATTAGTGTAGTGGCCTACTGATAATGAAAGATTTGTTTATGTTTTTGTTGTTTTCACTTTTTCTGCTCTTATTTTTCTTCACTTCACAGCTGATTTCGAAAAATGCCAACGAGAGAGAGATAGAGAATTGGGAATTTTGTTTTTGTTTACATTTTCGATTGAAGGTGTGTGTGTTTCGCCTATTTCAAATGAAGATGCCACTTTGTTGTTATTGTGGTGATGTTGTTTTTTTCTGCTGTTTATTTTTGGGAAATGTCACAGGTAATTTCGAATGAGAATTTTGTTATGTCTGCTTTTTTTCGGGATATATGTGGTTATGTTTCACTCGGGATATATAATATATCTGAAAATAAATAAATGGGGGAATATTTTAATAAGGAGGTAAAAAGAAAATATGTTAATAAGATATAATAATGTTGTAGAAACACGTCTATATTTAATAGGTGTATTTAAAAACATATCTCAAAAATCCGAATAATTTTTGAAACGAATTATGGTTAATATTAAGTCCTGAGGATCTGGGAAGGAAAATATTTCTTTCTAAAAGACCATAGACCAGATTTTCACATTATGTCAAATCCAGAAAAAGACCCACGACCTATTAGTCGACTACAAAGCCACATTCGACAGCCAAATCCGCTAAGAAGTGTTAAAAACCATGTCTACGTTTGGCATTCCTTCAAAATTAATACGGCTATGCAGGATAACTTTAACTGCCACAAGGTCAGCAGTTAAAGTCCAAAATGGCCTCTAGGAGCCCTTCAATACCGAACGAGGATTAAGACAAGGTGACAATTTGTCATGTGACTTGTTTAACATCCTGTTGGAAAAGGTAATACGTGATGGAAATGGCATTCTGTACACCAAACAGCATATGTTACTCGCCTACGCCGACGACATCGACATAATGGGTCGAACATTGTGAGCGGTAAAGTACGTCTGGCAGTAAATGGCAAGAAGACCAAGCTGATGGTATCAACGCGCCAGATATCCAGTAGACTCGGACTAACTGTGAAACTTGACAACTACAACTTCGTCATAAACAAACATGATAACATAAGCTTTGAAATCCGGAGGAGAATAGTGTTGGCCAACAGATGCTACTATGGTCTGAGTGCGCAGACCCATCTCAGCACGTGCTGTTATATGGATCTAAAGCATGGGCACTTGGGCAAGCAGATGAGGCAGCTCTTGGAGTGATCGAAAGAATCATGACCTGTACCATCTATTCTCGGACATCGACATAGTCAGACGTATGGAGGTGCAGGGACTACGTTGACTAGCTCATGTTGTGAGAATAGATTAAGATGCCCCAGCTCAAATGGCTTTTAAAAGCGAACCAGCTGATGTTTCTCGTAGAAGGGGAAGGCCACAAAGCCGATGGATAGGTAAAGTTGAAGACAAAATCTCCGAACAGGGTCTTTCAAATTGGATAAGCTGCGTACAAGACCGACGCGCCTGGAAATCTTGTTTAAGCTCGGCTTATGGAACGTTTTATAACAAGCCAACTAAGTAAGTAATACTCAAAGTCTCCAGATTAGAAATATGTAACGTTTATATATTTCTACCTGAAATGGACTATCTGCAAAAATGGGTACCTGGTCCATATTGCTAACTGTCGCCACATGACCAGCTTTGCATAAAACGTCAACAATTTTCTTCAAAGTGCTTCCCTATGTCCAAAATCTACAAGATCATTTGAATTTTCGATCACCATTCCAGTTTTTCTAATCAAATTATTTTGGAGCGATTGGGAATATTGGAAATATCTCCAAAGAGACCTCCAACACTCATGGCGTTCTAGGATTCTGAGTTAGCGCACGGAACCAATGTTATGTGAAACACCGATGACCGATAATCCTAGTCGAAAGTTGCACCTAGGCCAGAATGTACATAGTAGTCCTCGTATCATTGTATTTAAACAGTGATTTTTCCGATTTTTTAATATTTACAAGTGAAATACCAGAAAAAAATGGGCCGAAGTTTTCAATCTTCGAACTAAATATAAATTTCATAATAATAATGAGGGTTCTCAAGGGGCCATAATGCAGCGGCTGAATCTGGTGTAATGCCAACGACCCTATATCTTTGTTAAATATTAAACAACCGGCTAAACATTTTTGGTAATGAAATTTTAACAACTCTGTTCAAAGTAATTTTCTATTTATTTGTATTTCAACAACTATAAATATGTTATGCTCATTTATCAATCAAGTCAACCTGATTTGAATTCAGTAATAAATCTGAAAACCCCACATTTTGTCCTGCACTGTTATTTTCATTCATAAAAACAATTCGCACTGGAGTCGCTTCACACACATAAAGGGATGTAATAAAACTCTCATTTTGGATGCTTTTCTTTGGAGCAAATGAAACTAATATACTCAACAACAACAGCAACAACAACAAAAAAAAACACTGATGTAATAAAACTCTCATTTTGGATGCTTTTCTTTGGAGCAAATGAAACTAATATACACAATCAAAAAAAAGACAACAAAAACAGCAACAAGACAACGGAAATTTCATTGAGTATAAAA